AGAACAATTAACCAGTGGAACAACCTGCCTCCAGAAGCGGTGAATGCTCCAACACTGGAGGTTTTTAAGAAGAGATTGGACAGCCATTTGTCCAAAATGGTATAGGGTTTCCTGCCTGAGCAGGGGGTTGGACTGGATGACCTCCAAGGTCCCTTCCAACTTTATTACTATTATTATTATTGTTGTTGTTGTTGTTGTTGTTATTCCTCAGACATGATATCCTTTCTCTCAACCCTCCCTCTTGCAGGAATGGAAATATTCACTATTACTACTACTACTACTTCTACTTCTACTACTAGAAGGTAGGGATGTTCAAAACATTTCCAAACCTGAAATGCAAATTAAGACTCTTCGGAGCAGAGGGATTATTAAGCTTGTAACAGGATAATTTGCACTGTACACAACAGAGCTGTGTGCACTTGGTACACATCCAACATTTGCTCAAAACAGCTGCATTGCTTATGACGGTGCCTTTTACACTCAAAACAAGAGATTTTCAATTCAAGATGCTACCATCCAGGACATTAGGGCTTGTTGCTATTTCAGCAGCTAACTTCCAGCATCTTTAAATATTAGATATTTAGTTTCATAATAGAAAAAAAGTGATGACACGTTATCTTTTATCCTCACTAACCTGGTGGAGTATTCTTTTCATTTTTAAGAGCTGGGTTTTCACCGCCGTGCACTCTTGAACCATATGGCGAAGGGTCATTTCGTCCAATAACACAGTGTTTGCTGGCAAGCTCCTCAGCGGTGGATACAAGCCTGATGTCCCGTAGCCTTCAAGATGACTAACAGGGGGAGAATCGACATAGTTGCAGCCCCTGAAACAGAGTTTGGAGGATGTTAGTAAAGAGCCTTTGTTTATGTCTAGTTTAATGAAGGACAAGGGGGGACATGATAACAGCATTCCAATATCTCAGGGGCTGCCCCAAAGAAGAGGGAGTCAAGCTATTCTCCAAAGCGCCTGAAGGCAGGACAAGAAGCAACGGATGGAAACTGATCAAGGAGAGAAGCAACCTAGAACTAAGGAGAAACTTCCTGACAGTTAGAACAGTTAACCAGTGGGACAACCTGCCTCCAGAAGCGGTGAATGTGCCAACACTGGAAGTTTTTAAGAAGAGACTGGACAGCCATTTGTCTGAAATGGTATAGGGTTTCCTGCCTGAGCAGGGGGTTGGACTAGATGATCTCCAATGTCCCTTCCAACTTTACTACTACTACTACTACTATCTTGGGCGGCTAGATAGAATACTGCATTGCTCTTCATTTAATACAGAAGATCACTTCTCCTGTGAAGAAATAATAATAATAATAATAATAATAATAATAATAATAATAATAATAATAATAATAATAATAATAATAATAATAATAATAATAATGATGATGATGATGATGATGATGATGATGATGATAATGATAATAATAATAATAATAGTAGTAGTAGTAGTAGTAGTAGTAGTAGTAGTAGTAGTAGTAGTAATCGTCATCGTTGTAGTAGTACTATTGGAGGTCATCTAATCCAACCCCCTGCTCAGGTAAGAAACTCTATACCATTTCAGACAAATGGCTGTCCAGTCTCTTCTTAAAAACTTCCAGTGTTGGAGCATTCACCGCTTCTGGAGGCAGGTTGTTCCACTGGTTAATTGTTCTCACTGTCAGGAAGTTTCTCCTTAGTTCTAGGTTGCTTCTCTCCTTGATGTAGGGTTTCCTGCCTGAGCAGGGGGTTGGACTCGATGGTCTCCAAGATCCCTTCCAACTTTATTATTATTATTATTCTCCAAAACGCCTGAAGACAGGACAAGAAGCAACGGATGGAAACTAATCAAAGAGAGAAGAAACCTAGAACTAAGGTGATCAGATGGATGTTCTCTGCTCTGAATCCCTGCCAGAGAAATTGTTTGGCTGTGCCAGTGATAAGAATCTCCTTTATGGTGGCTTTCCAACTTCCAAGGGTTTCTCTCAACAGTTTAACTTGCACCGGTGTTACCAGTATTTCACCCTCAGACCAGGCCCTATTTTCCCAGGCACTGGAAAACACATGCACGATTTTTATTTCTTCTGTTACATTTGTTCTGCCTTATTCACGCTTTGTTTTGTTTTTAATATGGTTACTCTTAATTCTTGCCTTGTAGGTCATCTTTACCCAAAGTGCAATTTTAAAATATTAGCAATCTTTGATTGATAAATTATACATACAGTAGTGGCCAAAATTGTGGAAACCTTTTGGGAAAAGTGTATTTTTGAGGTTTGATGGCTAATAACACTACTTTTTTTGGGGGGGGAGTAGTACCATAAAATTATATATCAATGGAAAGATAATTTAATCAAGAATGTAATGCAACAAAGTTTGTTCAATTATCTGTACTGTATTCTATGAAAGGTTATAGCCAAATAACCAGAAAAAGGAAGCACAATTTGCTTAGGTAGATATCAGGTAGCTTTCCTTCATCTGATTGTAGCCAATGAGCATGAGTGTTTAGAGAGCCAATCAGGTGTCATCTTGTTTTGGCAATGAGCCAATCAGATCACAGTAGGATTCAGTTATTGATGTCCTGTATTGAAGCTGAGAGGAGGACATTGGTCAGTGTGTTATGGGATCGCTATCAAGTCGATTGGGTTTTTTTGTGTTCTTTCATTTAGTGAGCTTGTAAAATGTAATAAAATTAAAGTCATGGTGCAAAGAGTTGACTGGTTGCCCAGAAAGCGATGTAAAATAGTATTATTAAGTGAACAAGGCTACAGTTATAAAGAAATTAGAAGAAAAATGGGTGGAAACATAACCAAAGGTGGCATTTCTACTGTACACTTTTCCCAAAAGGTTTCCACAATTTTGGCCACTACTGTATAACTCACTCCCATAGAAAGAGACTCATTTTTGTTTTGGCTATTGCATGTATATATATATATATCAAACGTGAATGTGAACGTTTCACCTTCAACACGGTCACTATCCCTTTGGAGAAACTTTCAGTGAGAAACAGCCCTGTTTCAACTATTCCACCCTGAGTTTGAAATCTTTTCAGAAAGATTAAAGTAGCCCATCTGGAATAGAAAACAGCCATTTCAAGCTCAAAGTAGGATGTTGATCTTGTTCAAGTTAGGGACATTTTACAGTTTCCTGGACTGCTATCTTTTCTTTCTAAGAATCGCTGTGTCCAAATGTAGATTTTAACTCTGGGGGGGGGAAAAAAACCTCTAATGATTAATGGCTGCTAGGAAAATCCCAAACCTCAACCTTTAACCTTTTTTGCTCTTCTGAGAATCACACCTGTTTAGATCATTTCTGACGTGTGAATAGTGCTCAGTGGGACTAAGATGATAATGATCCTGAGTGTTCCACCTCTGGGGTGTTCTCTTCCAGAGTCCCTCTGCTTTTTGCTGTCGAATATTTCTGCCAGGTTGCTCATAACGGTTCATATTGTCACATTCCTCTGTATCAACAGAAGAAAAAAAATAGAGCAACACTGATTCAAGCATTAGTATCAACATGAAAGCAAAACAGATGTTGGATGGCACTCTTAATTAATTCACAGTTGTCCATCATGAGGTCAAGGAACTGCACATAAATTAGGTCTGGGCATAGAAAAGATCATTTTATTTCACAATATGATGATGATCAGAGGTAAGATATAAATGTAAAACTCAAGTTTTCTTCCTCCGTAACACATCAAACAACAGAAATACGATACTAGTTATGCTGAAATTAACTGGCTCCCGGTATAGCAAAGCTGCTACTTCAGTTCAATAACTTTTAATCATTTCTTTAGCATGAGGAATATAATAAAGAATCAAGCCGTTCCTTTGCTATCTATCCGAACGCAACTTCCAAGCGTTCGGATAGCCCTTATTCTTTTTTTAAAAAAAAAACACAAATTTTATTGGTTTTCCAGTTTTACATTTAAGTGCTTGGAAAGTAGCGTCAGTCAATAGTTCAATAACAAAGTCTCTAGTACATATCTCAGGATGCATTATCAAAAATTCCTTCTATTTCCCTTAACGTTCAATATATCATACTTAAATTAGTAAATTTCTAACCATGACAAACTCAATTAAAATATTTATCAATCTATGTTTCGCTTATCCATATCCATATCCTGCTTTTTAAGTTTTAGCTAAGTTTTTAGCCCTTATTCTTCACAAGGATTTTTCCCTGCACTTATATAATCAATGATGAAACGCGATCTTATTCTTCACAAGGATTTTTCCCTGCGCTTATATAATCCAATGATGAAATGCGATCTTATTCTTCACAAGGATTTTTCCCTGCACTTATATAATCAACGATGAAAGACGATCTTTGGGGAGTTTCATTAATTAAGGAAAAGTTTTAGAAAGTTCATTTTACCATGCAACATGAAACTTCTAAAAACAACAACACATCTGTCAGTGCCTCCCAAAACGATAGTTTGGTTTCCGACAACTGGATGAGGCAATTGTTTGGAAATCTTAAAAGCCAAACCAAGGCACCAAAGAAATGCAGCTGGGGAAGAAAAGTCTGAAGAAACGCATTCAGCTTTCCACTTACCTAAAACCGTTCTTCTCATGGCTAATCCTTGGCTGCGAGGCCCTTTTCCTAGCTGTTGCTCGGCTGCCTACTCAGACATAGTTTTGCAGGAGACGGGGACAAACAGGCCTTCCTTCCTGATCACTCCCTGCTTGCGTAGAGTTGGGAAAGCAGCCCAGTTTGACCCTGTGACTTACAACTCCCGTCCTCCAAGTTGCATACTTCTTGCCACAGAACAATTGCTATAAATAGAGGGCAAGTTCCATCACAGGCTCCAAAAGGGAGCCAGAAAATTATAAACCTATGAATTACTTTAGCACTTGCTGGGATCAATCCAGTCTTCGGGGCAAGATGGAGTTAGCTGCTGAATTCATGAATGGCGCAATCTTGGGAGCTGAAAGCAGCCATTGAATCAAAGTCCTGTTTTCTGAACCCCCGTTAAAGCAAGACTTGAATGCATCCAGTGAAAAAGAAGCCCGGCCTACACCTACAGCCAACTCTGACTCTTTTCAGATTTTTCCTGAACTTCCACTGGAATTCAAATCACTCCGCCCTGGATCTAAACATAACCGCTTTAGTCACTTAATTTCCAGACTTCAAAAAGCTTTTCTGTGTACAGTACTTATCTAGCTAGTTGATTTTGGTGTGTGGGATTTTTTGTTGTTGTTTAAACGAAAGGATACACTGTAATTTTAACCCTATTATACCAAAAGCATTAGTGAGAATTCATTTTAAAAAAGACTAGTTCAGGGGTAGGCCACCTTGGCTCTTTTATGACTCGTGGACTTCAACTCCCAGAATTCCTGAGGCAGCCATGCTGAGGAGAAAGGGAGAGGTTTCCAAGCTGAGCCATGCTGGCTCAGGAATTCTGGGAGTTGAAGTCCACGAGTCATAAAAGAGCCAAGGTGGCCTACCCCTGGATGATGGCTCTAAAAATGGGAAAGAAACATAAGGTGATAAACCTCTGTGCAAACAGAGTTTCAAAACTGCTGCTCTGTTAAGAAACATCAGGAAAATTCAACAGTGGGGATATTATTCATTGCATTCCTTGAGCATCAAATGAAGTTGTACGACAGAGGTGTCCAACCTTGGCAACTTTTAAGACTTGTAGACTTCACCTCCCAAAATTCGTCAGCCACTTTTGGGAATTCTGGGAGTTGGAAGTCCACAGATCTTAACAGTTGCCAAGTTGGGACATCCCTGCTGTACACTGAGAGAAATGACTCTGTATATCCCCAGCCTTGGTTTTCTCTAGATTTCATGGGATGACCACTCTAGAAGTTGTTGGTTCTCTGGGCTTAACAGAAATCAAAGGTGAGATCAAAGAAGCAACAGACAGTTCAGGAAGATCCTCTCACTAACCATTATCATAGGGTGCGTCTTCAGGTAAGTCGACATCAAGCATAAGATCATCATCTTCAAGATCACAGGACTCAAGGTTGTTCAGGATATCCTGCAAGGAAGGAGAAATGGCTTCAAGTCATTCAAACTAACATGCAGTTTGAAAGAAACTCTTTATGGCCGTTTCCGCAACTACAGAAGTGAACTTTATTATCGTCAATGATGAGAGCAGCTTCCAACTATCCAGCACAGCTAGTATGTTGAAGTGAAAAGAAATAATTCACCCCCAGGCCTCTTAAAAATATGTGCTAGGTATTCAGTTAAAACAGATCTTTATTTCAGCCACTTCTTCTTCTTGTGCCATATCCGTTATCGGACGTTGGCGATCACGTCGGCGATCCTGTTTTTATCAGCAGCCGCACGAAAAAGTGCTGCTGAGTTTTGTCCAAACCAGTCCCTTAGATTTGGAAGCCACGATGTTCTTCTTCTGCCTGGACCTCGTTTCAGCCACAGAGCAGCGTAAAATACAATGAGGAAAAATTACACTAATTTCAGTATTAATTTATAGAAACTTGTAAATGATAAAACATAATTTAAAGCTACAGAATACAATTATATTAAAATACTAAGGTATGTCTAGGACAGTGATGGCGAACCTTTTAGAGACCAAGTGGCCAAACTGCAACCCAAAACCCATTTATGCATCGTCCGGTGCCGGGTGGGTGTAGCCATTGGGTGGGTGTGGCCTATTGGGGTGTGTGGCCAATTGGGTGGGCGTGGCTGCAGTGGTAACGGCAGACTGGGTGGGACTAAAAAGTTCAATCAATCAATTCAAACTTTGCAAGATCTTTTTTCCCCCGCAAGAAGTTGAAATTGACTGATTAATTGAACCTTTTTTTGGGGGGGGCACACGGCAGCGGAGGCCTAAAGCAAAAAGGTTTTATAAAACCCAGCTGAAGGCCTAGGACTGGGGCGACGGCGCGCGTGCCCACAGAGAGGGCTCTGAGTGCCGCCTCTGGCACCCATGCCATAGGTTCGCCACCACTGGTCTAGGAAAATGAGGGAGAGAATGACCAGCAATGAGAGACTCAATTATGGTGGCCATGGGGACACCTCTGGGAGACTTGAAAGACCACAGTAAGGGATGGATCCTCATAGAGAAAACCGACCTAGGTAGACACTAGGAGTTGAAAGCGACCTGAGGGCACACAATCAATCAAGCATATCTACGAAAGTTCTTAATATTATTGGACTAAAATGGGAGAGGGCCTATGAAAGCCACAGAAAGAACATAAAAGCGATAAAGCACCACAGAGCCATAATTTCTCGTTAGATGTATCACATTTTCGAGGTACAAAACTATGGATTTGGAAGATAATTCCATTTGATTTGTGTATATCTGACTATTGGCCTTGAAGGAATATTCCAATGGTGTCAATAAAACTATGCCCAGAAGTCCTAGTCCCAAGTCCTAGGACAAAAGGCATTTATGAAAACTTTCGTTAAGTTTTTAAAATCTTTGCGGTTTCCCAGCTGATGGATATGCTTCTCTGAATGCTGTTATTACCTTTACAGATTAAAATGTGTTAATCAGCAGCTAGGAACTTTTCACAACTATCAGAAGAACATCACAACTGAATGCACAAATGGAATATTGCTAAAGCTCCATTAATATTTTACGGTAAATCCTTCCCCTCAATTGATATTTCACTCTTCCCTTAAAAGGGTAAACTGAATTAATAATCCTATTCCTTTCATCGTAGCATCTTGCAGACTTCAGCGTCTTTGTACTAAATGGGTGAAGAAGTAGCAAATAAAGTTGTATCTTCCCCATTAATTTACAGACATGTGTAATTCGATTTAAAAAAGGGGATGACAGTCAAAACAGCAATATTTCTCCCCCCCAAAAAAAGAGAGACCAGTCAACATATTTAAGTTTACAAAAATCCATCAAATAGTGCTGGGTTTTAACCTATCCATACATGGAGAACTGCTCTTCTACATTACATCACAGCTGAAGGGTGAAGCAGGACCCATACCTTTAGGGAAGGAAATAAAGATGACGAATGATTAAAATAAAATACTTCCCAAAGAAGGGAGACCAGGGACAAGAGACAGAGGCTGGGCTAGCCTTAGGCTTATTACTGCAGCTGCCATAGCAACTCTGGGGGAATTCAGTGAGACCTCCCAGCCTGCATCCAATCACAGAAGGGCAGCCACTGACACTGCCACATCGCCAGTCTGCCGGAGGCTAGCCAAACAATCCCATGGATAGGGATGTCAGTTGCCATGGTGAGAAACAAACCCTACGATGAGCCTCAGAAACCATCAGCCTTTTATCTTCTGATTGACTCTAGGGAGCCAAAACAAACAAACAAAAAAAAAACAGCACAATGGTTTTTGCTAAACTACAGTTCTGGATATCACTCCTCTAAACCAAGCGTTGGCAAGTTTTCCGGTCACTGCTATTTCTTCATGATTTGGGGGTCCTTTGCCCATACTTTTAAAATGGGCGTATGTTTGTGTTTAAGCATTGTTGTTGTTAGTTGCGAAGTCGTGTCCGACCCGTCGCGACCCCATGGGCAACGTTCCTCCAGGCCTTCCTGTCCTCTACCATCTTCTGGAGTCCTTTTAAGCTCACGTCTACTGCTTCAGTGACTCCCTCCAGCCACCTCATTCTCTGTTGTCCCCTTCTTCTATTGCCCTCAATCTTTCCCAATAGAATAGAATAGAATAGAATAGAATAGAATAGAATAGAATAGAATAGAATAGAACAAAAAATTTTGTTGTTGTTAGTTGCGAAGTCATGTCCGACCCATCACAACCCCATGGACAATGTTCCTCCAGGCCTTCCTGTCCTCTATCATCTTCTGGAGTCCATTTAAGCTCACGCCTATGCTTCAGTGACTCCATCCAGCCACCTCATTCTCTGTCGTCCCCTTCTTCTCTTGCCCTCAATCTTTCCCAGCATTTGGCTCTTCTCCAGTGAGTCCTTCCTTCTCATTAGGTGGCCAAAGTATTTGAGTTGTGTTTAAGCATAAATAGATATAAATAAAGGAGAATATTTGCAATGCAGGGTTGAAATGATGGGTCCTTGGTGCTCTCCTGAGCTTGGTTGTTTTCTTGCATACACTTCATTACCCAACTAGATAACCAAGGGTACGCTAGAAGGTTGAGTGCGAACCCTTCTCCCTTCTAGCACTAGTTTGGGTAATGAAACATCTGCAAGAAGACAACCAAGCTCAGAGAGCACCAAGGACCCCACATACATAGAGGTCATACTAATGCAGTGGTTCAGATTTAATTCAGAAGGGATAATTGGGAATGGGCTAGAGAGCAAATGCAACATTTAGCTGTTACTTATTGAAGTAGCCCCCTCTTTTTCAGAATTGCCAGAGACTGCAGCTGCGTAATCCTGGAGACTTGACGTGACTGCTTTAAGATGACACAGGGAGACGCTGCGCCTGTGTCACCATAATTCCATGGCATTAATTCCAAATCAACTCTGAATTACTGTAGGATCTCCATTGCTACAGATAGACCAATTATCAGAAGTAAGGAAAAAATATCTGTCTCATTAAAAAATTCAAATAACAGAATATAGTAGCAAGCCACAATACTATTATACATGAGACATCTATGCTCTTGATATTCTTTAAAGCAATTAGATCACCACCTTTTGCATTTTTTTTTCCATTTTCCACTTTTTTCTACTCCTAACTGCTTAAAGTACTGTAATAACCCCAATTTAATAGATAATTCGAAAATAATAATTCAGAGCATTTGGAATTATTTATAAGTCCATTAAAATATTCTTGGCTTTAAAATAGATATTCTTCATTAGGGTTTCCTATACTTGCAATAAAAAAATCTCTTCAATCTTCCCTGCTAACTCCAGGGTAAGTTTCTAAAAAAAAAAAAAAAGATTGTTTTATTCTAAATAAAGCTGATCGTCATTGACTGTGATTCCAGCCACGTTCTTTTTATAGCTTTGCTTTGGTTCAGTGTGACACAGTGTGACCTCTACAATCCTGCATGTTGCTTACTGCAAAAGGTCAACTTCAAACAATAAGAAAAATGTACAGCTTTAATAGGCTGAAAGCAAAAATGTTGACCAGTTTCTAGGTGGAAAAGCAGCAGACCAATAAACGTGTTTTTAACCCCCCCCCCCCGAAAACCATCTCAAGCCTTGCTTGAGGCCTTGCATTGGATGGATAATTAAGATATCCAACCGATAAATGTACAAGAAGCAACGGGTGGAAACTAACCAAAGAGAGAAGCAACCTAGAACTAAGGAGAAACTTCCTGACAGTGAGAACAATTAACCAGTGGAACAACCTGCCTCCAGGAGCGGTGAATGCTCCAACACTGGAATTTTTTAAGAAGAAACTGGACAGCCATTTGTCCGAAATGGTATAGGGTTTCCTGCCTCAGCAGGAGGTTGGACTAGATGACCTCCGAGGTCCCTTCCAACTTTATCATTATTATTATTATATTATTATTATTGTGCGTGCTTTTCAAACTAAGTTTTAAAAAAAACCATGATCCATATTTTATAAGGTATAATTCACGACTAAACCTGGGATTTGTATTTATTTATTTTATTTGTATTTTTGTTTTTTATTGATCAGGCAGAGAGAATAAATACTCTAAAGCAGCGGTTCTCAACCTATGGGTCGCGACCCCATTTGGGGTCGATCGACCATTTCACGGGGGTCGCCAAGCAAGGCTGTCCGCCATTTTTTTCCCCTTTTCCGGCGGGTGCCTTACCTCCCTTGAGCTGGGCCAGCTGGTTGTCGGCCTGCTCCGTCTCTGCCGCTTGCCAGCTACACCTCGGCCGGCTCAGGGGGCGGAACCACGCATGCACGGTGCTCCCGGGCAGGGAAAGTCCTCGACTTACGACCGGTTAGGTAGTCCTCGACCTACGACTGGTTTAGTCCTCGACTTACGACCGGTCTAGTCCTCGACTTACGACCGGTTGGGGGTCGCGGCATTAAAAAGGTTGAGAACCACTGCTCTAAAGCCTATTTGACACAGTTTAACTATTAACTGTACTTTGAAGCAATGGGCTGTTTCACAAAGTAAAGCCTCTACAAAGGCCATGTACCAGGAATATTACTACTGTCAGATAGATGGATGGACTTCTGCTTTCTGCTTTCCAAAAATAGGATTCCCACGATTTACCAATGCAATGAGGATTAACAAGCAAGGGAAGCCATGTTTCTTCCCTGCTTCTTTTTAAATTCTGTGATTTAACTGGCTTGTCTCGCTGGCTTGTTGTAACTAGCTATCTGTTATACCTGAGAAAATGGATGCCCTGGCCCTTACATCTTCACTCATGCAACAATTAATTGAATAATAAACCATAAGGAAGATTATGCCAACTCTCTTTCCTTCTTTATAATTACATGTTGTTGCCCTCTTGCAAACTTTGTCACATCAGAATTAACCTTCTCCCCTGATTCTTTTTTACACATAAAACACTAATATCTTCAGCGGAATTATTGGGAATCTTTATGTATAAAGATGTCCAATAACTCTATATAAATTTGCACTGAAGGGAATATTTTAAATTTTAAACTCTACATGCATTGTAGAACGAAAATTAAAATTAAACAGCGAACACTCTACTTTTTAAGCAGATGCTCCATGCAACAAAGTATTTATTTCATGCCCGCAGCATGTTTCTACGTTTTAATATTGTGAACACACAGGACAACTTTGAATGAATCAAATTGCAAAGTGTGACAAGGCATAGTATGTTGGCAGATACGGGATATTACCATTTCATTTCTTAGAAGACACAGCAGTAAGACGTCTGCTTCTTAATTATAAAAGCTTATATATTTCTCAAGCGATGTATGTAAGTATGCTATTCATGTGAAAATAATATTCGCATTACCTGTGGGATAACAATGTAGATTGCTTTCTAGGTGGAACAAAACAGCCCTAATGGCATTTTGTGTCTAGTGTCAGAATTCTACAAATGAGACCGTTTCAATCAGGATATAATTTAGAAAGACAGACATGCCAAGTATGCTAAATTCTAGGCAATTGGATATTTGGCACAAACTCTAGCACACATGATCAGCGAAGCATGCAGATAACTTCATTTGTTTCAGGAACCAATAAATAAATACAGTTGTGAATATTGGTGCTACTGTTGCCAAGTTAATTACATAATCAGAAAGGGGAAGTCTGACACAGAATGTTTACACCAGTTATTATTATACACTGTTGTGCTGCCATCTAGCCTCTACTCACAAGATTTCTAAAGAGCTGCTTAAATATTCAATATCATACAGCAGAGGTCCCCAATCTTTTGGGCACCACGGACCGGTTCCATGGAGAAAGGTTTTTCCACGGACTAGAAAATGTGTGGTTTTCCGTGCTGCCTGCATCCCACGGATAGGGGTTGGGACCCCAATCACACAGATTCAACTGTATTTAAATTTGGGGAGAAAAGGGAAGTTGCACTAAAAATCACCTAGACCTTTTCATACAGCTTAACACACCGAGTTTTCAAATACAGGACAGTATTTAGACATTCCCACTAGTGTTTACATTTCAGCTCCTAAAAGGGAAAGATTGTATCTTAAATTTCTGAGCCTGTTTAGTAAAATGAAAAGTTAGTGGATGGTAACAAAGTTGTTTTAGCAGATGCTTACAAAGTTGACTTTTTCAAAGGGAACCAATTTATCTCTTCAGTAGACGATTTCAGCCTCTGTGTTTGCGTTTATTGATACTGGGGGGTCAAAGACCAAAAACAGGGTCACAAAATTGATACAGCTGCTAAAAACAATGATCCGCTCTAAAAAAAAAATACAATCTTTCTGAGCTTTGCAGAAATCCAAATAAAAGCTCTTGACTGCTCAAGAAATAAAATATTACAGCCAAGACTCTTAAGAATCCTAGTATAGGCTTTTTAAGTGCAAATATTTTCAGAGTACTAAATCTAATAAATCTTAATGTCTTCATATTAATATTCCCTCCTGTCTGATTTCCAGGCTTTCGAGCAGATTTCACATATTTATAATAATAAATTTCAGTTTTTTAAAATATATATACTGTATATATATCTAAAACAACTAAGCAACAATGAGGACAGCTGTATTGCCAAATCAATAAAAAAAATGGAAGCGCCAGTGAAAGGAGGAACAGAGAACACAAAAACTCCAAAAAAAAATTGCATTGTAAAGTGATACCTTCTATAACGTCCGTCGGAGTTGAATGTTGGTAAACAAATCACTGACAGACTTCGATTTTATTGTGACTTTTTTCACTGAACACTAACAAACAGTGTGTACTGGCAGCGTCGGAGGGACACCAGTGTACTAATTTTAATCTGTGAACCATAAATGCTGCCACCGTCACAGGGTCCTAGTGCACTAGCCCTTCTGCGATCTTCTGACAAGTCAAGTCAATGAAGGAAGCCGTGGCAAACAAGATTGTAAAATGGGGCAAAATTCACTTAACGGTTATCTCACTTAGCAACAAAAATTGTAGTTGTAAGCTGAGGGCTACCTAGAGATAGAAGCCAATCACTAAATTAGATTTCTTTAAACAGGACAACTGGAAAATTCACATTGTGATGATCAAGGAGGCTTCTGTGGGACTTTAAGAAAGCAGCATGTGATATTAGCATATAGCAGGGGTAGGCCGCCTGGGCTCCTTTATGACGCGTGGACTTCAACTCCCAGAATTCCTGAGCCAGCCATGCTGAGGGGAAAGGGAGAGGTTTCCAAGCTGAGCCATGCTGGCTCAGGAATTCTGGGAGTTGAAGTCCACGAGTCATAAAAGAGCCAAGGTTGCCTACCCCTGGCCTAGGAGGCTCACCGCTTAGAACAGGAGGACTTAGGACAGGGGTAGGCAACCTTGGCTCTTTTAGGACTCGTGGACTTCAACTCCCAGAATTCCTGAGCCAGCATGGCTCGGCTTGGAAACCTCTCCCTTTCCCCTCAGCATGGCTGGCTCAGGAATTCTGGGAGTTGAAGTCCACGAGTCATAAAAGAGCCAAGGTGGCCTACCCCTGGCATATAGTATCAGCATTCTTCATCAAATGAAGAATTCAAGTTTTCCAACTTTCTCCACTTTCCACAAGGTATCGGTCCCAGACTTCCAGCTTAATATCAACTTCCTGATGCATCCTCAATTTCTACAGGCCATTAGTCAAAGACAAAAATATAGAATACTGAATATCCTGAATATCCTCGACACGACAACATCCTAAGCAGCTGTCTTTCAAACAACACTGATCACTCTTGCTCCTGAGCTGCAAAAACACTTCTAAAGAATTTTGAAGAATAGGACCTCTTTATTTTAACTTTTTTTTTAAATTTAAAATATTTCAAATAAATACTTCAAAATACCATTAAGTGAATTCAGTATTAATTTACTGACAAGATCTTAATGTAATCAAACAGTAGCAAAAGTTACAACTGCAAAAGCAATATAAGCAAAGGCGCTTATTTCTATTTTTTTAAAGATCAACCGAGCTTATAAAGGCAGCTTGTTATATTAACCGGTCTCCCCTCTATTTCTAATTTCTCCAATTATTCTCATTTCCTGCCTTTATGAAAACTGGGACCTTCGTAAATGCTGTATGGGCTGTGGAATTCTCCAGAAAATGATGGAGTTAATGTGAGATACAATTGCACGGTACTGATAATGTAGATATATAAATAAAAACAAAGAATACGTACGATGCTGTTCATTTCTGAGGAATCAAAACTGCCGCATGGATGGACGCTCCCAATGGGCTCCAGCCCTTCTTCGTCCCACATGTAAGTCCCATCCGAGCTGTCAGACGGGGAAAGCTCAAAAGAGGAACCAACTCTGTAATCCATTTCCGAAGAAATTTCATTGTTCCCAATGGGATGTTTGGTACTTTCACTCTTGTCATCTACTTCTTAAATAAAAGAGGAAAAAAAACTAAATACAATACAGTATCTTCTTCTTCTTGTGCCATATCCGTTATCGGACGTTGGCAATCATGTTGGCAATCCTGTTTTTATCAGCAGCCGCACGAAAAAGTATACAGTATACAGATTCTTAATTTAACACTTCAGTATTTCCTTTTCAGGACTAAGACACTTGAGTAAACTTTGATCACATCAAAACAGCTCTCAAATTGTATTCGGTGACCCACACAGGACGCTAAACCACACTAGCTCTGTCTTCTCCTACTGAAGGGGGAAGCCCTGGACTCGTTACGCCATTTCTCTGCGGGCTAAGCCAAAGGCTATGAACCCACAATGTGCTACCCTAGTGAACAATCACACTTTTAAGGAAGCTTGTCTTGGTTAGTGAACCTGAATCAGCTTCCCCAGAAGACCAGCGTTTACCCAGAAAAAAGCAAGTGGACTGGATCCTGGGTTCATATTGAAATGGGGCTAATCTTGAAGATTTACTTAGAAATTACAACTGATGCAAATGTCTATGGAGGATCTCAGTCATCCAGATCATGGTTGTCCCAAAGATGTTTTTTTTCAAAAGGCAACTGGGAAGAAGAAGCTTCTTGGATGAGAATTGAAACATTTTCAAGGAGGAAAAAAACCCAAGAAAGTCTAGTTGCCTTTCGGAAAAAGCATCTTTGGGACAACCATGATCTGGATGATTGAGAATCTCCATAGACATTAAGCACCTCTTAAGCTGAAAATGTTAGCTTTCAAGGGTTCATGTTGCACCATTAACTCAAATATGACATATAAACATATAAGGAACGGTTGCTGGAATTGGGTATGTCTAGTTTAACGAAGAGAAAGATGAGGGGGGACATGATAGCAGTGTTCCAGTATTTCAGGGGCTGCTACAAAGAAGAGGGAGTCAAGCTATTCTCCAAAGCGCCTGAAGGCAGGACAAGAAGCAACGGGTGGAAACTAATCAAGGAGAGAAGCAACCTAGAACTGAGGAGAAACTTCTTGACAGTGAGAACAATTAACCAATGGAACAACCTGCCTCCAGAAGCGGTGAATGCTCCAACACTGGAAGTTTTTAAGAAGAGATTGGACAGCCATTTGTCTGAAATGGTGTAGGGTTCCTGTCTGAGCAGGGGGTTGGACTCAATGACCTCCAAGGTCCCTTCCAACTTTTATTACTATTATTACTATTACTATTATTATTATTATTATTATTATTATTATTATTATTATTATTATTATTATTATTATTATTATTATGAATTTTAACATTATTTGAAAAGCGAATGTACATGTGGACTTTCAAATGCCGAATGTTGAGGATTAACAACATTAATGAAGAAGTTAAATAGAGATAAAGGGAATTTTGGTCATTAAATTTAAAATATTTGGAAATTAGTTAAAAATAAGGATGGTATTTGTTTAGTACTTAAGAATTAGAAGCAAAAGCAAAAGAAAAAAATATTATGAATATGTTTGATTTATTGATTAACCCAGACAATATATATAAAATGAGCTTTGATTTATTAAAGGGGATATGGTATTATTAATGAGATGATGTAGGATAGGGGGAAATAGATACCTTTTAGGAAGTAGAACAAGATTATATCCAAATAGATAAGATGTGTATTTGGAATATTAGATTCTGTTATGAATTGAGATAAAGGAAACTTTGGTTACCTAAAACCTGGAAATTATAAATGTTAAATTTGAATATTGATGGGAAACTAAAAATTGGAAAAAACTAATAACAGGACATTGATTGAATGTAAAAATTGAATGTAAAAGTAATTAAGATCTGTATAAGCTAAAAACTTATTGATAAACGTAATAATGATGTTTTTATTTAGTTGATATAATAAGAATTGTATTAGCTTAAATATGAGATAGTAGATATTAAGGGAAAAAGAGAGGAAATATTTGAGGTTGTGGTTTGAGATTTATATTAAAATTTTTGTATGTTACTGAACTATTGATTAACCCAGCCACCATGTTGCTTTTTAAATACCTAAATGTAAAATTAGAAAATTAATAAAAAAAATATTTAAAAAAAAAAAGAAATAGTGGAATGGTTATTTGATAAGAGGTACCAGCATCTTATCTGTTCCATTAGCTTCTAAAATAAGCACTGGGAAAAAAACACCCTGCCTATTTACCTGACATATGTATATGCAGCCATTCCTCGTTGTTGCAGTTCGACTTCTCGTTTTCCTGAAAAGATAGCAATTGTGGTGGTATTCCGTTTCTACCTTCCAGCTTTTCAGCAGGAACTTTCTCTTCTCCAATTAGCATGGTTCGGCCGGGATCTTCCAGATCTATGAAATCATCGCTAAAATCTTCACTAAGGTCATTTTTCTCTGAAGAGGACAGGGAAGATATTGATATTTCATCCACGTCGCCATCCATGCACATTTTATAGCTGCTCTCTACAAAATCGTTGCTCTGAGTTTCTTTTGCATTGGCATCTCTTTCAGCGTCCGCGGAATCTTCCAGATCTTCCATTAGGCTATTTGCGGGGTCTTTCCTGGCGCTGCCATCCACGGGGATCTTTCTACCCAAAGGCTGGTTCACGGGCTTCAGCAATGAAGGGCGGCCTGATCTGAATCTCAGGGGAGAGGCGTCCCCCGAACCGTTGAAGAGGGACTGTTTCTTGACATGGGAAGGTGCTAGAGCAGCCAACGACCTAGGCAATTCGTACCTCAGAGGTTCATTCCCGTTGGGCGCGTCTAACTGGCGCGCACTTCTTGACAGGAGATTCGACCTCTGGGATGGTCTAAGAGCCAGGTGTTGATTTTGGTAAGGCCTTGTCAGATCCACTGCTCTGTTAAACGAGTGGGATCTGGTAAGAGATGCAGGAGGCAAGAGAGAGCTTTGAAGGGAATGTGAGAAGCTTTGTGACCGGACCATTTTTTCACAAGAGGGTGGGACATTATTGTCTGTGGATCTCCCCAGGCTCTCCCCTGAGCTACTCCGAGGGACCAAATGATTCCCTCTAATCCTCTGCAAGCCTGTCACCGATTGGTTCCCACAAACCCCGTTCAACTGCGGTTTTGGTGCGTTAAATCCAGAGTAGGGAGTCCTGCTTAACAAAGAACTTTTGACATACTTCGAATTAGACAGACCGGGCAAACATTTCTGACGGAATTCTTCTGCAGGGGATACCAACATGTTGTCTTGTTTCGCTGTTTTGGAAAAAGGGGTCTTTGAAGCGGTCCTGAGTACTTCCTGACTAACTGATCCTTCAGACGGAGGACGTTTTTCCGACCCGGTCACTCGTTCCCTGGGATCCTGACTGGAGTTATATTCATTACCGATCCGACTTCCCAGAGGGAATTTGTTAGACTTTCTCCAGTTAAAAGCAAAGGAAGACAGGCGAGTGGTGCCATTGTGCTTGCTGAAATTTTTGTCAATGATCTGTGTATTCCCTGAAAGGTGAGGTGCCGTCCCATTTGGAACAAGCTGGGCGGTACTTCCAGCAGGCTTTGTTCCATATTTGGGTAACCTGGAAACCAAAGACACCCTGGTGTGAGCTTTTTCTTCCATGTGCTATAGCCCTGCCATGCGATATAGCCTTCCAACATTGACTCTGAAGAAAAAGAAATAGGGAGATATTAATGTTAAGGCCTGCCTCTGAAGAGAAATACATAGTTTGTTAAATAGAATAAACCTGACACTTAAATAAGTGGGACATCTTTATTTATTATTTATTATATTGTCNCATTTCACTATGGAAGATATTGCAGGCAGCCTCAACTTACAACCATTTGTTTAGTGACTGTCTGAAGCTAAAATAACACTGAAAAAAGTGACTTGTGATTGTTTGTCACACATGACCGTCGCAGCCTCCCTGTGGTCACATGATTAAAATTAGACACTTGGTATTTACGACGGTGGCAGTGTCCCAGGATCACGTGATCACCTTCTGCGATCTTCTGACAAGTCAAGTCAATGAAGGAAGCCGTGGCAAACAAGATTGTAAAATGGGGCAAAATTCACTTAACGGTTATCTCACTTAGCAACAAAAATTGTAGTTGTAAGCTGAGGGCTACCTAGAGATAGAAGCCAATCACTAAATTAGATTTCTTTAAACAGGACAACTGGAAAATTCACATTGTGATGATCAAGGAGGCTTCTGTGGGACTTTAAGAAAGCAGCATGTGATATTAGCATATAGCAGGGGTAGGCCGCCTGGGCTCCTTTATGACGCGTGGACTTCAACTCCCAGAATTCCTGAGCCAGCCACGCTGAGGGGAAAGGGAGAGGTTTCCAAGCTGAGCCATGCTGGCTCAGGAATTCTGGGAGTTGAAGTCCACGAGTCATAAAAGAGCCAAGGTTGCCTACCCCTGGCCTAGGAGGCTCACCGCTTAGAACAGGAGGACTTAGGACAGGGGTAGGCAACCTTGGCTCTTTTAGGACTGGTGGACTTCAACTCCCAGAATTCCTGAGCCAGCATGGCTCGGCTTGGAAACCTCTCCCTTTCCCCTCAGCATGGCTGGCTCAGGAATTCTGGGAGTTGAAGTCCACGAGTCATAAAAGAGCCAAGGTTGCCTACTCCTGGCATATAGTATCAGCATTCTTCATCAAATGAAGAATTCAAGTTTTCCAACTTTCTCCACTTTCCACAAGGTTTCGGTCCCAGACTTCCAGCTTAATATCAAGCGTTTACAAACTTCCTGATGCATCCTCAATTTCCACAGGCCATTAGTCAAAGACAAAAATATAGAATACTGAATATCCTCGACACGACAACATCCTAAGCAGCTGTCTTTCAAACAACACTGATCACTCTTGCTCCTGAGCTGCAAAAACACTTCTAAAGAATTTTGAAGAATAGGACCTCTTTATTTTAACTTTTTTTTAAAATTTAAAATATTTCAAATAAATACTTCAAAATACCATTAAGTGAATGTAATCAAACAGTAGCAAAAGTTACAACTGCAAAAGCAATATAAGCAAAGGCGCTTATTTCTATTTTTTTAAAGATCAACCGAGCTTATAAAGGCAGCTTGTTATATTAACCGGTCTCCCCTCTATTTCTAATTTCTCCAATTATTCTCATTTCCTGCCTTTATGAAAACTGGGACCTTCGTAAATGCTGCATGGGCTGTGGAATTCTCCAGAAAACGATGGAGTTAATGTGAGATACAATTGCACGGTACTGATAATATATATATATAAATAAAAACAAAGAATACGTACGATGCTGTTCATTTCTGAGGAATCAAAACTGCCGCATGGATGGACGCTTCCAATGGGCTCCAGCCCTTCTTCGTCCCACATGTAGGTCCCATCCGAGCTGTCAGACGGGGAAAGCTCAAAAGAGGAACCAACTCTGTAATCCATTTCCAAAGAAATTTCATTGTTCCCAATGGGATGTTTGGTACTTTCACTCTTGTCATCTACTTCTTAAATAAAAGAGGGGGAAAAAACTAAATACAATACAGTATCTTCTTCTTCTTCTTCTTGTGCCATATCCGTTATCGGACGTTGGCGATCATGTTGGCAATCCTGTTTTTATCAGCAGCCGCACGAAAAAGTATACAGTATACAGCAGTGGTGGCGAACCTATGGCACACGTGCCAGAGGCGGCACTCAGAGCCCTCTCTGAGGGCACGCGCACCATCACCCCAGACCTGTCTCCCCCCACAGCCCCCTCCTCATCAGCAGCCCCCCCAGAGCGTGGCCCGTGGACATGGCAACTGGGCAGCGGGGACAAGACTCCGTCCTCACGCCCCGTTGTGCGCAGTTGATGTTGTGGGGTGTGGATGCAGGGTGCGGCTGCCGTGGTGCTGCTGGGCCGTCTGGGCAATCTGGGGCCGGCCATGGAGGTGGTGGGTGGCCCGGCGGGTGGAGTGATCAGGGGCGGGGCAGGGGCGGGGCAGAGCGGTAGTAGGGTGGAATGGGGGGCGGGGGGCAATTTTTGAGCACTCGGTCTCTAAAAGGTTCGCCATCACTGGTATACAGATTCTTAATTTAACACTATTTCCTTTAACAGTATTTTAACAGTATTTAACAGTATTTCCTTTTCGGGACTAAGGCACTTGAGTAAACTTTGATCACATCAAAACAGCTCTCAAATTGTATTCGGTGACCCACACAGGACGCTAAACCACACTAGTTCTGTCTTCTCCTACTGAAGGGGGAAGCCCTGGACTCGTTACGCCATTCCTCTGCGGACTAAGCCAAAGGCTGTGAACCCACAATGTGCCACCCTAGTGAACAATCACACTTTTAAGGAAGCTTGTCTTGGTTAGTGAACCTGAATCAGCTTCCCCAGAAGACCAGAATTTTACCCAGAAAAAAGCAAGTGGACTGGATCCTGGGTTCATATTGAAATGGGGCTAATCTTGAAGATTTACTTAGAAATTACAACTGATGCAAATGTCTATGGAGGTTCTCAGTCATCCAGATCATGGTTGTCCCAAAGATGTTTTTTTTCAAAAGGCAACTGGGAAGAAGAAGCTTCTTGGATGAGAAGTGAAACATTTTCAAGGAGGAAAAAAACCCAAGAAAGTCTAGTTGCCTTTCGGAAAAAGCATCTCTGGGACAACCATGATCTGGATGATTGAGAATCTCCATAGACATTAAGCACCTCTTAAGCTGAAAATGTTAGCTTTCAAGGGTTCAAGTTGCACCATTAACTCAAATATGACATATAAACATATAAGGAACGGTTGCTGGAATTGGGTATGTCTAGTTTAATGAAGAGAAGGACGAGGGGGGACATGATAGCAGTGTTCCAATATCTCAGGGGCTGCCACAAAGAAGAGGGAGTCAAGCTATTCTCCAAAGCGCCTGAAGGCAGGACGAGAAGCAACGGATGGAAACTAACCAAGGAGAGAAGCAACCTAGAACTAAGGAGAAACTTCCTGACAGTTAGAACAACTGACTTCGGGGTGGATTTCCATCAGTACGCTGATGACACTCAGCTGTACATATCCACCCCGGGCCACCCCAACGATGCCCTTGACGTGATGGCCCGATGCCTGGAGGCCGTGAGGGTCTGGATGGGGAGGAACAGACTCAGACTCAACCCGTCCAAGACCGAGTGGCTGTGGCTTCCAGCGCCTCGGCATAGTCAGCTG